AAACCTCTTTCATTGTCATGGTTCAGGTCATTATCCAAACCTACCCTGCTGTCCTTGGCCTTCCTTTCTAGTTCTGTCCAACTGTTATTCATTCTTCTCATGTTGGTCTCTCATTTTCGACATAATATGTTCCTTGGTCTTCATCTTTTCGTTAAACCTTGAGGATTCCAAGTGAGAGCTTGTCTTGCTCTGCAGTTGGTTGCTTCCCGTAATATGTGTCCTATCCACTTCCAGCGTTTGTCCCTGATTTCTTCCATCGCTCGAATCTGATTTGTTCTCTCCCGCAGTAGTTTATTGTTAATAGTGTCTGGTCCGAAGTACATATCTGTTATGCCTGCACGTAAACATGTCAACTTGATATACTTGAACTATTACAAGTTTACCCAGTCGGAGAACGAGAGCGAGGATCGAGGATCCGGCGACACGACATGCTACTCAAATCCGACTATCCCAACTCCCATATTGAGTAAGAAAAGACAAGACTTGATATGAAGTGGAACCTGTATTCTACAAGCATGCAGAAAGTTGAAGGTCCGAATCCAGAAGAGAATCAGGATCCCGGACTAGGGATCCGGGACCGGGTCCTGGTCATGGTCTTGGTCGTGGTCATAAAACGTTACAGATAATGCGTATTTATACATTTTGGTCGAATAGGAAACACCATCGAATTCTGTGACATTGACAGTTAAGACGACCTATAGGAAGCAACATTTGAATTGACAGTGATAGTCAGAACAACCAATAATAAACAACATTGGAGCACGTGACATTGATATCTAGGACGAACATAAAACTGACCAGTAGGAATTGACCAATAATTCTCTTAGGATATTGGATGTTTATCCTAACAATATCTGAATCAGATTGATGCCAATCACAATTCCACTTTATTACATTATGCCTAAAGAATGAATCATCATCATGATTATTATTATTATTGCTATTATCGATTTCTTTTAGATCAAACAACCAATGAACCGCTTACTGACGAGACACTAACCAATCTTGACATTAATTATGGCTTTGAAATGATTCGTCTAAATGGATTACCAGCATCTACATTGGAATTAGCTAAAACGATTAATTTCAATTCAGAAACTGGTGAATTACAGTTGAATGAATTACAAACTCAATGGAATTCGCATAAAGATGTGAGAAATCGTATACAAGCACGTTGTATCGCTGTCATTACCTATCCGCAAACGGATCAATATCCTCATCAAGGTGTACAACGTTATGCTAGTCCGTATTTCATAGTGAATGTACCAAAAGATATTGAAGCTATACCGGATTACGTAGATGGTAAGTGAAATTTTAATTTTCGTGAATAAAATACTAAATTTTGTTTACTGTTGTTCATTGATAACTGTGACTAGATAACACTCACAGAGTGTGTAATACAAGTCAGAAGACAAATCTGAAGTAGGTGTTCGGATGACGTTTATGTTGGGAATGTAAGATCCCCAGAACTCGCTTCATAAATGCCTTAATTTTGGATTTCACGTTTGCGAGGAGCATGGGCTGATCAGGTGACCTTGAGATTATACAGTTCCCACTAGGAAGATCCATGGCTGTGATTGGCTGCTGTGTATTTTGGTGTGCTATTTTCGTAACTGTCCCAAGGACGTTTGTATGCTTGATTGTATTGTGATTGCTGGGTGTTTGTAGAATATACTTTCTACGCTTACAAAGCCTTCTATTTTGCAGTTTGGGATTCAAGGTAGCCTATCTGGACGATGGTTCGTTGTCTCGTTCGCGTTTATCGACTAAGATGAACTTGTAATAGCTTCAAGCGTACCTAGTGATGAATCCTACAGTTTATAATAGCACAACACTGATCATTAAAACCACAAAACCATACGAAAAGAAACTGAAATGGGTATGCGTATGTGAAGGAGTGAACGAACAGGATTAAAATGATTAGATTTTATACGGGAAAATGAATGAGTAACCGAGCTACTTAGGCGACTATCGTTAAAGTTAGTAGAATGAATACGTGAGTAGACTGTAAGCAATGCTCAAACATACATGCTCATACAAACGCAACAGTAATGAAATTACAAATTTGTAGATGAGTTACTGTTGTTCAAACGATTCTACCTACCTGTTAGATAAGTTAATCAAAAAGTTTCACTAAATTAAGCGTAAATAAACTCAAATGTATGTGAGTGAAGAAAAAGAATTCAACTTTGATTCAGTCAAAAATTTAAACTTCACTCAATCTACTTTGCTCCGGTTAAGAGTAGTTAGTGTATGAGGTTAAGCAAGACCGTGAATTGGTCGAATTTAGACGCCAGCACCGTCAACTACCAGCTCACTGGTCGAGAGGTTAGGCGTCCACTCACAAGACCGAAGGTCCTGGGTTTGAATCCTACGAGTTGTAGGAGTCATGGACGCCCTTAGCTGATGAGTCTCATACCTGGACGAAACGGCCGTCCAGTGCTTCCAGATTTCTAATGACTGTCTAACATTAATGGATTCGTGATTCCAAAAATGTTCGCATAAATAATGGTGTCACTCAAATGGAAATACCGTAGAATTATGTGTGATCAGTGAGTTGAGTTATTATCGATCGATTGCTATTCAGGAAACAAACAGATTGATGAATACTAACTAGTGACGAAATAACTATAGTTTGTAACACACGTAAACTAAACAATATTAACACCGTTAGATATCGCCTCAGTGTTCCGACGGTTAGGCGTTCGCGCACAATACCTAAGGCCCTGGGTTCGAATCCTGCGGGGTTCAGGATTCGTGGATGCGCACTGCTGAGGAGTCCCATACCAGGACGAAACGGCCGTCTTTCAGTGCTTCCAGGTTTCTAATGGTAGTCTAACATTGATCGATTCATGGTTTCATAACTGTGTAACTTGACAATCTTCACAACCCCGTAATGCAAACATGACCACGTAGATAGAACGGTCTTTGAGTAATACTGAGTTCTTTGAACTGAATATAATTCACCTAAACAGCACTCATTATTCTACTGGATATTAGCATCATTGCCTACTTTACAAAGAAATGATCTTTCTAGAAGTATTTTACATGTGCAAACTCCAATCGTTGTGATAACCCAATGATAAGTTACCTCATTAGACGACTGAATTATCTTCAAGTGTCTATGCATTCGACAAGTAGTATTGTTTTAAACAAACTCTACGAACAGTATTAATAAGTTGAATCGGTTGCATTCAATAGCATTATACTCTTAGGTCACCTTTCATAAATTAGATTCAGTTGAGAGACAAGAGAGAGCATAACAAGTAAAACGACTGGTCTTGTTTATTGTAAGTGAAGACAAATGTCTGAGATAATAAGGTCCTAGTCAATAAAACTTAGTTTTTCAATCATGGGTTGTGGAGATAGTTGAGTTTCATGTTAGACTACGATAGATATTACATCCTAGTGTGTTATTCATCAGTCTAACGCGTTCACGCGCTATGCAGGACTCGAACTCAGGGCCTTTTATGTCCCACACGAACGCTTGACATCTTCACCACTAAGTCGGCATCTAACCGCCTTCGTGTCTAACTGCAATCAATCCATGAAGTCTTGTGACCATCTTCTACCTTTTGATGTCGGCCCGGTGGTTGAATGTTCGCACGCATGGTTGACTATTCTGGGTCCGCTTTCTGTTTGCATGGTTCGTTAGAAGCACACTGATGATGATTCTTATAATTACTTACTTACGTCTATTACTCCTAATGGAGCATAGGCTGTCAACTAGCATTCTCCAACCTACTCTCCCTTGATCCTTCCTTCCCAGTTTTACCTGATTGCTGTTCATTCTTTTCATGTGTCTCCGATTCTCGGTGTAATGTATTCTTTGGTCATCCTCTTTTCCCTTGACCTTGAGGATTCCAAGTGAAGACTTGTCTAGTGATGCAATTGGTTGATTTCCGCTTTGTATGTCCTATCCACCTTCATTATATTTCCCTAATTTCTTCATCTCACAGTAGGTTATTGCTGTTGGTATCTGACCAACAGATCCGTAGTATTTTGCGCAAACAACTGTTAATAAAAGCTGGTATCTTCTGAATGATGTCCTTCGTGATTCTCCAAGTTTACGCTCCACACATTAGAACTATCTTGACATTCGAAATGAAAATTGTGACTTTACTGTTTATTTGATAGGTGTTTGCAGTTCCAGATGTTGCCCGAATGTAGAAATACTACCCTTGCTCTGGTAATCCACACCTCCGCATCTGCATCAAATCCACCTTACTCATTTGATATATTTAAGTAGTTTGAAAAGAAAAAAACACAAGTCTAATTTATTTCTGATCCTTTTAAATAAGCCAGAAAGACAGACAGATACAACGCAGAACTTCGTACGTAAGTGCATCACATCAGGTTGCCATGCCCCATCAGCACAGAAACGTAACTGTCCAGTTCAAATCCAACAGTGATAGTGATAGTAGAAGTATTAGCAACAATGGAGAAGATTAGGGTTCAAAGATATGATTGGAGAAGTATAATTCAGTGAGATAAATTTAGAAGGAGAAAGATAGAGATTATGAGGAATTCAGAAGCTTAGAATTAGAGAGAACACAAAGAGTGGATGCACCTACGCCATTCCAAACGATTCTGAGCCATGTCATTCAAGGTCTCTAACTATTGGTGACTATCGTCTCGCGGACCACAACCAGATAGCCTACATCTACCAACATGACTCAGTCCACTTGTCAGTGACTTCATGGATTTGTGCCATGTTTTGATTTGGCCGCCCCTAACTTTCTTCAAACCTACTCCTACACCACAAAACATAGCTCGTCGAGGCAGTCGGTGGTTAGGTATACGTAACACATGTCCTAACCACCTCAACTGATGAAGTTTCAATACTTCAGCTATTGATTTACCATCCCTACCTAGAACTTGTTTCCTAACGATAGCATTGCTTATACGGTTGTCCCAGGATGCACGAGCAATGCTTCGGAGACATCGATGATCGAAGACTAGTAACCTACGAATGTCGTCTAATCTTAACGGTCATGTTTCGCATCCGTAGGACAGAGCGAACTACTGCACAGTACACTCGTCCTTTGGTTAGCAAACGGATAGCTAGCCTACGCCATAAGTGACGCAGGTTGGCAATAGCCAATCAAGCCTTCTGTATCCGTGCTGAGATTTCGTCAGTCACCAGGCCATCAGCACTGATGAGACTCCCCAGATACGTGAAGCGGTCAACACGCCCAACCACTTCACTCCCCATCACTAGTTCAGGTGCCGATGCAACCCAATTTTGAAACAACATTTTGTATTTCGACGAGGAGAACCGCATCCCGAACATGCTTGGATTGTTGTTTAGAGTAGTCAGAAGACTCTGAATTTTGTCAGCGTCTTCACCAAATGAGAACTATGTCATCGGCATATTCTACTAGGTCAGTAAGCGATTTTCCCCTTTTAAATAATGTAAAACTTTATTTTATCAATAAATATCTTTCATATACTCTGCTTATATACACTATCGGTTCATCTCTTTATTTCTTTATCTAATATTTCCAGTATCACGTTCACGATATGAAGTAACTGTTGGTGGTTTAAACAATCAAGGCGTATTAAAAGTACAACCTGGAAAGAATATTCAACTCAAGTGTATAATTCGAGGTAAGTATATTGATGATTACCCGGCGTGCGCAACCACGCCGGGAATCCAACCCAGGACCTTGGATCTTGTGGAACGCTGATGTTTAACCTCCAGACCATTGTTGAGTCGATATCCAACAGCGTTACTATCTAATTTTATTTTTTTTTTTGAAACCATGAGTCGATCAATGTTAGACCACCATTAGAAATCTGGAAGCACTGAAAGACGGCCGTTTCGTCCTGGTATGGGACTCATCAGCAGTGCACATCCACGACTCCTGCACTTTGCAGGCTTCGAACCCGGGACCTTCGGTATTGTGCGCGAACGCCTAACCATCCGACCACTGGGCGGGCATCCAACGGTATTAATGTCTAACTCTGACTGACCTACGGATTTTGCGTGACCTCACCCATTTGTCTTTGGTAGTTACTGCCTACATCCGAAGGGTCGAGCTACATCGGTCACGTCCTCTCAACTAGAACTCCGAGAATTTCCTCACGGAGCTAGTCATTAGTGAGCACTGTTACGATATTTTCGCGCAGAGTTTTGAAGGTTTGTGTTTTTTTAACACATTTGAAATCATCAATCAATCATTGTTAGACCATCATTAGAAACCTGTAAGAAGCACTGGACGGCCGTTCTGTCCTGGTATGGGACTCGATCTTCACAAATCTTCTTCATTCATAATAAGCATGTACACACACACACACAAGTAACTAGCTTCAAGATGAATTTCTAGAGTTCTAATAAAAAACAGTGGCTAGTAGAGTTGAACCGTGTCAGGAATGTGACAGTTACCTACTGTAAATAATGGGGGACTGATTGAAGTTTGATACTAACAGCATTGAATGCTGAGTCAGTAGTCAGAAGGTTAAGTGTCCGTATGGGAGACTGAAAGTTCTGAGTTGGATTCCTGCTTTCAGGGTCATGGATACGCACTGATACTGAAGATTCGCATATTAGGAAGAAACGGCCATCCAGTAATGGTAGTCTAGTTAAGATCAGTTTTCAACTTCAACACAAATACCCTTCATTAACAACAATAATTATTGACTGTAGAATGCTTTAAAAGTTTCGGATCAACTTTGTCTGTGTTGAACTTTAAATAAAACTGCAGTATTGCAGCTCAAAAACAAGGATCGTTCATGCAGAAAGTGCAACAGGAATTCCTTACGTCAATTTCAATGAATTCTGGCGCAATGAAGGATAATTATTGCTTAGAATGAGAACATTGAAGTAGTTGTGTTTGTTGAGCTACCTAGAAAGATTAATTAGGAATTTTTCATTGTTCTTGTGAACAATATCACTAGTACATAATTCAAAGACAGATGAACTATTTTTGAATTTGTTGGGGATGTTAGATCCCCAGAACTCGCTTCATAAATGCCTTATTTTGGTTTTCACGTTTGCCAGCATGGGCTGATCAGTTGACCTTGAGATTTCAATTCCCACCAGGAAAATCCATGGCTGTGATTGGCTGCTATGTATTTTAGTGTGCTATTTTCTTAACTGTCTCAAGGACGTTTCTATGTAGTATAAATAAACGAGAGTTGTGTGCTTGATAGTATTGTGATTGCTGGGTGTTTGTAGAATATACTTTCTACGCTTACAAAGCCTTTTTATCTTCAGCTTGGGATTCAAGGTAGCCTATCTGGACTCTGGTTCATTGTCTCGTTCACGTTTTATCGACTAAGGTGAACACGTAATAGCTTCAAGAGTACCTAGTGACGAACATATCAGAATTATTCCACAGTTGACTATTAGCATCTTGTTTTGTTGATTTGAAATTTATCTGACTGTTATTTGTAAGTGTGAACTGTTATTCATGAGGCAAAGGATGTATTACTTATCGCTTCATTGTTTCAGTCACTAAGTAATCGGACTTACTTACTTACTTACTGATTTACTTACGCCTGTTATCCCTAGTGGAGCACAAGCCGCCGACCAACATTCTTCAATCTACTCTGAACTAGAAAAGAAGACCTAGGATAGAGTAGGTTCGAGAATGTTGGTCGATGGCCTATGCTCCACTCGGGATAACAGGCGTAAGTAAGTAAGTAAGTAAGTGTTAGGATATTCATCCAATATCCTAAGAGAATTATTGGTCAATTCCTATTGGTTCATTCCTACTGGTCAATTTTATGGTCGTCCTAGATATCAATGTCACGTGCTTCAATGTTGTTTCTTACTGGCTGACCTGACTATCAATTTCATAGACTTCGATGCTGTTTCCTATTCGACCAAAATGTATAAATACGCATTATGTGTAACGTTTTGTGGCCGGGACCAGGACCCGGTCCCGTATCCTTAATCCGGGATCTTGATTCTCTTCTGGACTCGGACCTCTTACTTTCTGGATGCTTGTAGAATACAGGTTCTACATCATATCAAGTATTCTTTTTTGACTCGACGGGGGTTAGGACACTCGGATTTGAGTAGCATGTTGTGTCGCCGGATCCTCGATCGTCGATCCTCGTTTTCCGACTAGGTGAACTCGTAATAGTTCAAGCATCTATCAAGTTGACGTGTTTATATGCAGGCGTAACAGTAAGTAAGTAAGTAAGCTAGTAGATTTGATTACTCAGTAAATTACTCAATAATTTTATTCACATTTTCACTCACCAAACATGAATCTTTTGACAGATAAAGAAACGGATACGTTGATGGATACTTTAACACAGAATCAATTTATTGGATGGCAATTTCCTGTATTACCTAGTGGTTATCAAGTAAATATGGGAGATTTTGCTACAAATTCTAAAATACAATCCGATGAATTACATTTAGAAGGTATACGTAATGATTATCCAGAAAATTTACAAGGTCGTTGTTGGTTCGATGATGGTTTCATGCATTACTACTCACCATTCTTCCCTGTTGTATCACCAAGTACAGGTAAGAAGTGTTCATATATACAAATATACATATACGTATATATATATATATATATATATATATATATATATATATATATATATATATATATATATATATTGATTAATGGTTGCTCTGGTTGTCAGTGGGGGGGGGCATCAGTCTTGTGACTTCCGAAGGAACTTTGCTTTCATCACGAGAAGTCACAACTCTTCTAAATGAAGACCTTCTTACTCTCTGTAGGATTTAATTTGTCCTTACAGATGTAATTCTACAACGGTAAACGCAATACTGGCGAGCACAAAGTCTATGGGAAAGCTGCTATAGTCAGAACAAGATCAACTTTTGCTTTAAACTTTATCTGTTTCTAAACATAAAAATACAATTAGATTAGTACAATAAATAAGAAAATTACAATTATCAATTAAGACGAGCAAACGTACCGACTAATATAGCGTGTCTTTAGAAATGAATATAACTATGAGTCAGATCAATATAATAAGATAATAATGTCAATCAATTTGTAGGTCATTTACAACAAAGAAAATTTACAGACACGTCAGATCAGATCACGTGGTGGACGCTTAAACCACAATTTGGTTGGTTAGTTATTACATAACTAACACCCTCATGGGAGAGTTAAAAGGATGCGAATCATTTTATCTGGTTAGCGTTTTTTAGTGAGATAGGGTCGTTAACCCCACACCAGTCCTCCAACTTTATCCGGGCCTGGGACTATAAGTAGCCCCAGAGGGGCTCCAGATGAAGTTATATATTTATATAATGATAACAATTACTATTATCAACACTAGTAGTCAGATGTACTCATCAATATTTTACTGTAGGGTTTTCGTACTAGTTATTATTATTTGCAGAGTATGATAACGGCTAGCAATGGAATTCAGGATTTGCGTTTCGTCCTATTTGAGGACCGTTCATAGTTGGATGTATCTACTACAGCTTAGAGTTGACTATCACTCCGGAACTCAAACCCAGTACCGTTCTACTTATCTACTGAGCCTAGATAGCCACTTAATTTTTGGACTAAGGTTAACCTGGCGCGTTTAACTGATGAGGTCCGAATAGGACGAAACACGAGTCCTCGTATCCTCTGTTAGCCACTATACATCGCTGCTACTACTTCATTGATATGTTTTGTTTATTCGAAAACACAACTCCAAGATCACTGTACCATAAAAAAGGAAATTATCTCTCTCCAAACCAGTCTCAGTCTAATTAGTTTACCGTAAATTCGTACATTACACTGATGTCTTTCAAGTTCTTGCTTAGACAAACATTGATAAAAATTTCATTGAAAGCATGAACCAGTCAATGTTAGACAAATCATTGGAAACCTGGTAGCACTAGATAGCTGTTTCGTTCTAGTATGTGACTCATCCGAAGTGTGCACTCACGATCACTCGAGTTGGAATCGAACCCAGGACCTAAGATGATAATTCATAAATATATTTTGTTTATACAACTCACTATTTTAGAGATTGTGAAATATTTTCAATTATCATGAAGTACGGACATGATGTATTGACTGATTAATATCAGCATGTCATGTTTATAGAATCAAATCAATATCACAGAATCATGCATGCAAGCTGGTTTACTTGTATTATCCTAAATAAGTGATTTTAATACTTTTTTTCAAAGCATAATTTTCAGTGAAGATTTCGTTGTATGAGTATAGAGTTATCAGCTCCAATTCAAAATGTTCCCAATAGTTAAGGGATAAGTTAATATTTTTAGAAGGACATTTTATTATGCCAGGATAACTGGTTGTTACATGTTTTATGAATGCCCAACCACCGACTACCCCGACGAGCAATGTTATCAGGTGTAAACGTGGACTGGAAGAAAGCCCGAGGGGCGGTCAAACCGAAACATGGCACAAATGCATGAACTCACTGACAAGTGAACTGAGTCATGTTGGTAGATGGAGACTACCTAGTTAGGGTCTGTGAGACATGGTTAACCGATGGTCAGACACTCTGGATGACATGGATCAAAATAGTTTGCAGTAGTAGAGGTGAATCCACTTTTTATCTTCTGAATCCCTCATCTCCTTTATCTTCCTCTTCTCAAATTTATTTCGCTAGCTATCATACTCCTTGAATGGTATCTTCGAACCCTAATCCACTCCATTATTGCCATTACTTCTGCTATGGGATTCGATTTGACAGTTGCATCTCTGTGCTCATAAGTTATGCCAACTTGAACTGATCTATGTCAGAAACCTCACCTACTGTCTTCGGTAGTTACTGCCTATACCCAACAGGGTTGAACTCCACTTCTTTCAGGCCTAATAAGATTTGGTAGGTCTTTTCATACAGAGATGGTGTATCTGTGTTGATTAGTATATAGGGATTTATGGGAGATGGTTAGATTTAGAGTTTCATTGAGATTTCTGACTGTTAG